TCATATTGTACACCATTTTCATAAAAAATGCTTCGTTTTGAGTCTGAACTCGCTTCAAGCCAAGGACACCAATTTCCATAGGTTTGCAAAGATCCTACCATTTCACAAGATGCATAGCACGTTTATCTTCCGTTCCACCCCAAATGAAATTGTGTATTAAGCGCTCAATGGACTCGCAAATATTATTTGGAAGACAGGCAGTTTGCATGGCATAAGAGGGGATAGCCGTTAAGAACGTTTTCGTCAAAGTAATTCTCCCAGAAAAAGACAAAAAACGACCTTTCCATCCGGCCAAACAGTTTGAAATTTTGACATTATTTGTTTTAATTTTATATACATATCAACCGTCACTATACATATTATACACATATATCGTGTACACATACTAAATATGCTTTCATTGTCATACACTCGTATTATCAACACTTATACAAAATATTCTTACTGGATAGTCGAGATTTAAAAATTTTGCATCAGAATGTAGTTAAGAAACATCGTAGGTCTTTCCAATCAATCATATACACATCTAATCTTATTTCAATTAATTGAAAGGCATATTCTCAAACCTTACTACATTGTATAATTAGTTAGCATATAAGCACATTCATCTTGCTTCTAAGTATTCAAGTTCTCAATTTTATGATCTTATGGCCTTATGCTCAAGAAATATTTAAAAGTTTAATAATATGAAAAATACTATAATTCTTTCAATTAAATTTATAGTTAATATATATCGGTAGACTCAAGATGATGAGAGACACTTGAAAATAATAGACATGCGGTGGCCGTTGGATGTTCAACACCCCGGTTGTAGCTAGTGGGCTGTTAACCCAAGCTTTCCCGAAGATGCCATCCAAACTTCCAGAGGCCAGCTGTCCTGTTTGGGTAACCAACTTGGAGTGTACCTGCAACAAACGAATGCATAAAATGAATTTTTCCAGCCACGTAGAGAGGACAGCAAAGCAGGCAGTTATGGAGGAAGAAAATTGCATTAGAAAATGGGAGGTGGGGGAAACGGAAAAACCACTCATCATCAGTAAAAACAGGGATTCATTAAATGGGGAAAAATAGTTTTGTGAGGGGGATTCATTGTAAATAGAGAAAAAACAGTGTGCGTAAAGGGAACTCTTCCTCATATTCGTGAAGGAAGCAATGTAACGCGGGGGTGCCATCTTCCTTTTTTTTCTCAAAAAATCGAGAATCATTGTAACAAGAGGTGCTTCCTCTGCCAGATTCAAAAGGAAATATAGTGTAACAGGGGTCTTTCCCATTATTTTTCAATCAAAGAAAGACGGTGACTCTTTCCCTCATCAATTTTGAAAAAATCAAACACAAAGCAATAAAAAATCTCTTACTGATTGTTTTCGAAAAACAGAGCAAATATACATCTTAAAGGTATTTTTCAGTTTTGTATTTTTATTTTGAGGGCTTTGTTTTGTATGCATGTAGAATCAGAAACAAAAAAAGAAGGAAAATAAAAAAAGTTCAGTCTATTACCTGAGTGTGTGTAACCAAGCCGAAATAGTGACGGTTAACAAAATTGGTAAGTGTAGGTCCTTGTAAAGTTACGTATTTGAGGCTCTAGCATCCTGCTTTGTTTTATTTCATTTTGGTCATTACTTGTATATGATTTGATTCCTAGAATTTTCATTTAATGCAATTTGATCATAGTTCTGTTTTTAATTGTCTAATGCCTTAATTTGAGCATTAACTTTTAACCTTTTATTCTAGTTATGTATTAAATTTGTAAATTAAATCCCCTCGATTTTAGAATTAATCACTGAGTCAATTATCACACTTGTTCAGGCTTAGGCAGAAAAATAAAACTAAAATAACTTAATTGCATTTGAGCCCAAGATCAGTTAGTAACCAATCAAAGGCTTAACCAATAGGCTAAATCTAATATTTAGGAATCAATAAAAATATTTCCATATATTATAGTTAATGATAGAAATAAAATAGACAAGTGAGAACTTAAATCTAGGCCAATTGAGAATATGATAACACTTGGATTGCTAAAAAAACTAATATTTAGGAATCAAATAAAATATTTTTATAATATTTTTAAATTAAATTTATTTATTTATGATTATATATGAAATTATATTTAAAATTAAATTAAAAATTTATTTAACATACCCGAACTCACGAGCAAAATCTAAAATCAAAAGATAAATTTATAATTTGAATCTTAAATATTTTTTTCTTATGATTATAATTTAAAGTTTAAATTATTTTTTGAATGATCACATATATATATCATTAAAAATAAATATGAAAACAATAAATTTTGTTTAAAAATACTAAAATCTTAAATCAATTATAAATAAACTATTAGATTTATCAAATTAATTAAATTAAAATTAAAAACCCTCTAATCAGAATGTGACATGTGTCACAATTTGATTGAAGAATAAATTTATTAAATTAAATTGAAATTAGGAACTAATTAAAAATTAAGAATTAAAGTTAATCTTGTGATCAAATTGATTAATTCTAAAATCTAAGGGATTTAATCTATAAATTTAATACATGATCAGAATAAAATATTTTAAAGTTAATGCTCAAATTAATGCATTAGACAAATTAAAAATAGAGTCAAGATCAAATTGCATTAAATTAAAAATCAAAGGGAACAAATCATAGATATGTAGTGACAAAAATGGAAGAAAACAAAGCAGAGTTCCAGCGTCGCGAATACGTAACTTTACAAGGACATGCACCCTAATTATACTAATTTTATTAATAGTCACATAAATACTTCCGTTAAATGTTAATGACATATGACTATATTGAAACTATTTAAATAGTTCAGTGGTCATATTGACGCAAATTTAAAATGGTGGTCATTTTGAGACCAACCCATAGTTGGATGGTCATTTATTTAGTTTACCCCTGTTTTACTGTCTCTCCCCAAAATGACTTGGACAATTTGACATTTGAAAGGATGCTTTGAACTCCTTCAGTGGTCCGATTCCTTCTCTCAGTCACACCATTTAATTACGATGCCTTAATTGGAGTCTTTTCGAGCATGATGCCAAATACTTGCAATATGTCACAAAAGGGCCTCGATACTCTTCACCATTGTCTACTCACACATTCAAGCTTTTTTCGAGTTTCACTTTCTATCTTGGCACTGAGCTCTTTGAATGCCCTAAGCACATGGCCTTTTATTTTCAACTAGTATACTCAAACCTTTCTCGAATTATCATCAATTAAAGTAAAAATATAAAAGCTCCACCAAGAGAAGTTTTAGACATTGAGCAAACATCAGTGTGTAGTAAATCAAGAGCATGGTTTCTTCTATGCAATTCATAACCTCGACAAAATGAAACTCTATGTTATACGTTCAAGTGATTTACCCTTTACTTCGGGAAGAAGCTCCTTTCAGACTAGGATTTACAATCCTTTCTTGCTCATGTGATTGTGAACTAACCTCTTATTTTATAACTCCAAGCATGCATTGTCATCAGTACATTGGCTTCTCCCTTGTGTAACTTTTCTTGCATTATATACAAGGAGTCTTGTTTCCCTTAGCAATGATCATACTAGTTCTGGTGAGTTTTCGTTTTCGTCCACCAAAATGATTCAAATGTCCAACATCATCTAGTTTTCGGATGAAAATAAGGTTAAGACGCATGTTTGGCACATATCGAACATCCTTTAATACGATTTCACAATTAATATTGGTTTTTAAAATTACATTGTGAAATACCCACAATGTTGCTAGTTACCTGACTTTCCATTTCCATTGAACCAAAATTACCACTTCGGTATGTTGAGAAAAACTCTCAATGTGGGGTTACATGAAATGAAACCCCCGAGTCAACAATATATGAGCAATCATCATGTGCAATATTGAGATAATATTCTTCTCCAAATAGAAAGGTCCCAGCCTCATTTTCCTTCACAATTATTGCGGTTGTGCTTTTGTCTATAGTTTTATTTGAATCAATTTGGTCGGACTTGATTGTCCTATTCTTTTGATCTCTTTCGAGATTTTAACACACTTACTTCTAGTGATTTGGCTTTCTACAATAGTAACAAAAACATGTCGGAGCATGATTTGGATTGATCACGGGATTTATCATTAGATTTGGCATGACATCTTTCTTGGCTCTTATTCCTTCCCTGATTCTCTAGTATATTGACTCCGAAATGGTTTGAATGATCTCAATCCTTCTATCTAGTTTTTTTCATTCATCAAACTTTCTGATGCAATATCCATGGTGATCTTATCTCAGTCCTATCTATGGAACAAAGCAACTTTTCGTAGCAAAAACTGTACAAGCAGTTCTTGTTGGGATTGTGGTCGGCAGTATATTTAACATTGAGCAAATAAAATATACAAATTCATGATAAGATGAAGTTAATGGACTCAAAATGTAGATTTCGAGCCAATTCAGATACACAAATTTTCGCAATATCCTGCCGTATTTCTCTTGGTCCACTGCGACCAAATTGCCAAGATTTCTCAGGTCTAGTTTCACAATTCATGTTTTCCATGATCTAGGGCTTTTATGTGTTAGTGGGGAAGAAAAAGCGTTAATAAAGACCCTAAAATAATTTTTGAATTTAAATTTAATTTTGATATATATTAATGAAAAAATCTGATTTAGAAAATAAAATATGTACGTAAATGATGTGGGAAAAAAGATTGATGTGGACTTTTTAATTAGTTGAGACTATTAATGTTATGGTGAAAAGAGTTCATGAAATAATTAGTTGAAAATGGTGATTGATTCGGTTTTGTCTTGGAGAAGTGGACGGCTAAGCGTGGCTTTAACGTAGATTGAACCTGGACTGCTTTTGAGGAGAAGATTAAGAGACCAATGAGAGGCATTGGGGCGTTTGTGCTTGCATAGGTCTCGGTAGGAGAAGTAAATACGAAATGCCATAACCCTTCTTGGGATTATCTATTTGATTTATATATCTATTAATCCAGATTAGATATTCTAATATTATTATTCAAACCATATGTTTTCAAAGTGTTATACTGAGCAATATACTTATAATTATTAATTACATGCAATTAAATAGCTAAGATACTGCATCTTATCTATGCCACAGATTCTGCTTTTTCTAGGCGGTTGGCCAACTCGGATTCCGATATCCTGAAATGGTAGATTTGGATGTTCTCGACATCAAGCTTCTTGAAATTACTTCCTTTCCTTGTCACAAGAAAATTTCCCCAGTTGTAAGGCCTGTATCTGGCTGGATTTTCTTCACGTGTCAGTTCTTCCAAGGGCTTAATCATGGTGTAATGAGCCGGGTTAAAGAAGAAGGGGATCGAAAACCTTTCCTTCTCCGAATTCACCATCACCCTATGCTCCACGCTCTCATATCTTTCATTGCTCCAAACCTGTTTATGTGCAAAATTATATCATAAATTTTTGTACGATCTGTTCATGGATCGAGTCAGGTTCAAATCAAGCTTAAATACGCTTTCGTTATTTTTAGTTGATTCGAGTTACCTGTATTATGTCACCAACATTAATGATAAATGCATTCGGAGTAGGCTTAACTCGGATCCACTCTCCGTCTGATTTCCGCTTCACTTCCAACCCTCCGACGTCATCTTGAGCGAGGACGGTTAAGCCACCGGCATCCTTGTGCCGGCCAAGGCCAAGAGCTAGTTCCGGAGCAGGGCAAGGTGGATAGTGGTTAAGCCTAACGAAGCTGGTTTGATCCTTGAAGAAGCCATTAAAAGAATCTGCCGGCAAGCCTAAGCTCAAGGCAATAAGTTCCATCAGCTTGAAGGATAATTTTTCCACTTCCCCTGCGTATTCTTCGCACGCCTCTCTGTCAAACAATTATATGTATTCGATACATGTTCAATGTATAAAGATATACACAAATGGTAAGTACGTGCTAAAGTCTCGGTAAATTTCATACATGATAATAATAATAAGGATAAACTATACCAAATACCACTATACTTTAGGTGATATATTGTTTATACATTAAACTTTTAATTTCTTTAATTATAGCATTAGACTTTGGTTTTAAATTCAATTATGTCACTAGGCCATTAAAGTTCAAATAGTGTGATTACCTCGACAAAACGAAATTGTTTTGGCGATGAATATTGATGCCTAAAATGACGTAATTAAGAATAGAACTTTAGTAGTATACCAATTTTGTCATTAAACATTTGAACAATTTATTTTTTGCAATTGCACTATTTCGGTCGTCACCAACAATCAATCATCGTCTGTCATTGACCGTCTTTTGAAATAAGATAAGTACAAAAATGGTTGTGTTTCACCCCCTCTTTCTTCTTCTAAGATTAATTTTCCTTAAAATCCACTCAAAGTCGAGGAAATTATACAAAAAATCTAACATTTGTAGGGGTTTTGGGGCTTTCTTAGTTTTGAGAGATTTGAGGTGTTTGTTCAAAAATTCGATTGGTGAGAAGCATTATTTCGAGAAAATGAACAATATACCTCAAAACTAGCCCCATTGAATGAGCATCTAAAGAAATCATGGTGTCAGCACGTTGAATTTTCAAATGAATTTTCATCAATTTTTAGTGAGTTTCATAGAAAATCAATCCTTGGAAAAGAATGAAAAATGAAATACAAACATTTTTGTATCAACCTTGCCGTGAAAGATGACCGATAACAAGAGGCGATTGACTACCAACGACTGTCGAAAAAATGTAATGACAAAAATGAACTATTTAAAAGTTTAGTGACAAAATCAATATACTATTAAAGTTAAAATGACATCATTTTAATCATCAATAATTTCCGTCAAAATGATATCAATTTATCCATATCATTACAATAATAAAAAGATCTATCCACATTATCATATGTTAAAATTTAACGACAAATGATATAATTTAAATTAAAACTAAATTTAATGTTATAATTAAAGAAATTAATAGTCCAGTTATATACCTTAGCTGGGGAGGGTATTCAGGTCATTGATTATGCCACTCAGCCACTTGTTTGTCATCAGGGCGAGTAGAAGCTGGAACTATGGTTGGATTCTGCACTGTGAAATCAAACACCTCTTTCCAATCTCTAACGTTCTTCGTATGCTCGGAGTCATAATACCCTGAAACCCTCATTTCATCTCTCCTAACCTTCACCTTCTCCTCCAAAGGCTGGTAAAAAAATTCCCTGGTTGCCTTCTCAAGCTTCTCACGTTTCTTCAATGGCACCCCGTGGTTTATCACTTGGAAGAAACCCCATTTCTTACAAGCGTCACCTATGTCGGAAACCAGACTAGCGTCCGGAACTGCATCAGCTGAGTTCAACGCCGAATTAAGATCGATCAAGGGTATTCCTTCAGCTTCGATGGTGGGGAGTTTTGGCCTGTGCTCGAGGTCTTGGATGAAAGCTGGATCAACTTCGCCCATTGTCTTTGCTTTTTTTTTTGCAATAAAAGAGTAGTTGAACATGGTAAGTCGAGTGATAAGAAGAGTGGTTTATATGGGTTTTAACGTAGATTGAACCTGGACTGCTTTTGAGGAAAAATTAAGAGGATAACTAGGTGTAGACACTAATTTTTTGCCCAACAATACTATCCTCGTATTTCTCGGTAACAAGAATAACAACCAAGTCAAAATACTAAATCAAGGCATTTGAGTCCAAGTGGGACTCTAAAACTGAATAAAGGAGCGTTTCAGTTTGAATAGGACTCTACAAATCTATCTAAAAATAGCCAGTTTCATGGTTATAAATTGAGGCAAAAATAAGGTGGAAAAGGGGGGAGGAACGCCCAGCACAGAGAAGTTATGAACAAATCAGAACACGAGACTCAAATTGAAGCTGGGTTAAGGCGGATCTATCCAACGCCTGTCTTCCGAGGCCTAACGCTCTGCTTGCCAAGGACTCTCGTCGATCCAGTACCGATCCTCAGAGTATGCGCTGGAAGCTGCTGCAAGCAAGTGGACAGCTGTGTTGGTCGATCGTGTAACATGTTTGAAGGTGCATCCACGACCGACGGAGGCCCAGAACCCGACGCCGAATGCTCCCTCCTCCTTCGCCATCGCCTCAACCTGAAACGCCAAGTTGATAGATCTATCTCTGGTGTTGGTTTGAAGCTCAAGTTGCAATTTTACAAGGTTCAGTTTTTGCTACTCACTGGAAATTTAAAGCTAACAAGGTGTGAAGTCAAGCATGCAATGAACATTGCTCGAGGGAGAGATTCATCAATGGCGCTCCTCTTGAAGGCTCAGCTTGAGTATACTCGTGGAAACCATCGAAAAGCCATCAGGTTGTTGATGGCATCAAGTACTCGGACAGATGCCGCAATTTCAAGCATGTTTAGCAATAACCTGGGTTGTATTTACTATAAACTTGGGAAGTATCATTCGTCTGCAGTTTTCTTTTCCAAAACACTAAGTATTTGTTCATCTCTTCAAAACACTAAGTACGGGATAGAGATCATGTCCGGGTAGGAATTAAAGCATGTGGGGTAGATATCATGTGGGGTAGGATTTTTATTTTTTTTATTTTGATTTACCTCACTAACCCCTTTTATTTTTTGTTTTATTTCATTTTGTTTTCATCATTCACATCATTAAAACGAGGTGTTGATCCACCAAAAATGTGTTTGTTAAAACATGAATAATCTGCATTAATGGACAAAGGGGTTATAATACAAAGAGATAAAAAGCTCAGAAGTCCAACCGGTATCAAAGAATACTTAGAGGCAAAGGTTTCAGGGGCAAGACGAGGAAATAGTTAATGACCCGGAGAGTCCTTTCGAAAATTACGAGAACAAGATGGTGAAACCCTAGCTAAGCTGGAGACCATTATTGATGAATTCCAAAAATAAGTCGACAAACTCCGGATGGAGGGCTCCAATGGCACTTTCGTTTGGAACGAGCTCGGCATAGAGTGAAGGCCGGAGATGCAGTCATTCGAGACATTTTTTGGGGCAGGCAACTAATCACCCGCACAAGTTTAGCCAAAGGAGTCGGAATGGTTCGACAGGATATTCAACCGGTGAAAAGGCAGAAGACGAATCAACTTTCCAGAGACTGTGCGGGATCTATACCATCAAAAAGATTTTTGTCTCTTCAGACGTAACATTTTTGTCCCCAATAAGGATTATTCAGAATAATAGGCACATTTTTCGGATCAATGCCTCGAACATTTCATGCATCATGCATTCAGACATATTGTGCATTTTGTTATTTTTCTTTACATTCGCATTATTTTTCCTTTTTTTACATTCACATGCCTCATCAAAAATGAGAACATTTTGATTCTATGACATATAAGGAGCTTTACCAACAGTTGTTTGACGCACACGTGGTGTCACCATATCCAGAGAAATCCATGAAGCCCCGTACCCCAGGTAGTATGATGAGAACGCTCATTGCGAAAATCATAGAAGAGTCCCAGGGCGCACTATCGAGAATTACTCCACAATCAAGAGAATCATACATAAAATACGTAACAAGAATCGGATCGACTTCAATAACTTGGGGGCATCCAAGTGAGAAAGACCATTTCATCATTTGAGACATTTTGTTTGAATTTGTTTTTTCATTTTTTTCTCAAGTTTTTGTAAGGACTTTTAAATAAATTTATGTTACTTTAAAGATGTTAAACAATGAATCACATTTGCAAACTTGCAATTCTTTGAATATCATTTGAATTAAGAAACTCTGTTAATGGTTCAAAGTTACGGATCTTTGACAAAGTAACATGATTTAAAAAAAAAAGGACTTTGACCTTATCCAAAATATACCCTCAAACACCATACCATGCTCTTGCAATTAACCAATGTAACCTTTTCCCTTCATAAGGTGCGAACAACATGGGGCATCATTTGCATATGACCATTACTATGCTTTTTATTTAGGACGTTCAATGACGATGATGATCTTTACAAATGAAAGAGTCGAGTAGGTGAATCCAGTTTAGGTCAGTTGTTTGAAAATTGAACTCTAAAGATGAGATTCCTTGACTTTCAAAAACACCTAGACTATGACAGGTTCTTCTTGACAATCTTAAGAAATTAAATCCGTAAAAACTGAGCTATTCCGCTAAGGCAATTGGTTATAGAGGAAACTTGAAAGCCCTGGCCTTATGAGTAGATTACGTTCAAACCATGACATTGCTCGGACACTTGGCAATTCGGTGTTTGCTCCATTGCTCTTGTCAGGCCGAAGACTCTGTGATGAGATGAACCCTTCAGTTAACTTGATAAGAGTGATTATAATATTAAGTTGTCCCTCTAAAGCAATTGGTTTAATGCCCCGGCTTTATGGATTCAGCTAGCCAGATAATGACAAGTTAAATCAAATTTATCTAAGCAAGAAATTTTCGGTAAAATGGACTAAGGGAGTTAAGGAACACCTGTTATAGTCAACTACACACGAGCACTCAAGAATTTCGTTTTTAGACCGATGTTTTTGCACTGCCTTTATTAGAGGAGCCTACAAAGCTTGAACAAATAGAAGATTTCAGAGGACTGAAATAAAAGGTCTAGTAAGTGATCATGCTAGTTGCGTCATTTTGTCCGCACCCAATTGAAGTGCCAAAGCATGTCAAGATATTTAAAAAAAATGACATTTTTTTCCAAAACCTTAGAAAGGAGGTCAAGCTAAAGCCAACCCATCCATTTGAACATTTGTCAAAGAGCTGTAACTCTGAAAACGTTAAAAGAGCTATTGATTCCTTTGATATTCTTTGAACTCACGTTTATAACTTGATTCAATTACGAATAATATTTTACATCATTTTTATCATTTTCTCTCCTGAAACAAGAAAAATGAGAAAAACATTTTCAAACAGAACAATCTCAGATATGAAATGTCTGTAAAGCCCAAGCTCGAGAAGCAAATGGGGCACGATCGATTCCATGGACCAGATTGGCAAACAAAGCACGAAGAGATAACACATAATTCATTCATGTTGCATGCATCTTAGACATACTTAGGTGCATCACATTCCTCATTTTAGCATACATGATTTTTGTAGCTTTTAGAGTCAAGGATACTTGATTCGTAAGCGTCTTTAAAGAACGATGGTGGTTGCTTAGCTCGACAGCAAGAAGCTACACTTCGACCAACTCGACAGATTGAAAATTTTCTCTCGAACTCACAATTTGCTCGAGAGTAGATTTCAACTTCACAATGAAGGATATCTAGCTCGAAGCCAAATATCTAGACAACGCAAGTTCAACTTCACGACGAAGGGACCGCTGGTTGTCAATAAACATTTCTCAATTTCAGAGCCAATTTCAACTTCTCAACGAAGGATCTCGACTCTAGACAACGCAAGTTCAACTTCACGACGAAGGGACCGCTGGTTGTCAATAAACATTTCTCAATTTCAGAGCCAATTTCAACTTCACGACGAAGGATATTGGACTCCAGACAACGCAAGTTCAACTTCACGACGAAGGGACCGCTGGTTGTCAATAAACATTTCTCAATTCCAGAGCCAATTTCAACTTCTCAACGAAGGATATTGACTCTAGACAACGCAAGTTCAACTTCACGACGAAGGGACCACTGGTTGTCAATAAACAATTTCTCAATTTCAGAGCCAATTTCAACTTCACGACGAAGGATATTGGACTCCAGACAACGCAAGTTCAACTTCACGACGAAGGGACCGCTGGTTGTCAATAAACATTTCTCAACTCCAGAGCAAATTTCAACTTCTCAACGAAGGATCTTGACTCTAGACAACGCAAGTTCAACTTCACGACGAAGGGACCACTGGTTGTCAATAAACAATTTCTCAATTTCAGAGCCAATATCAACTTCACAACGAAGGATATTGGACTCCAGACAATGCAAGTTCAACTTCACGACGAAGGGACCGCTGGCTGTCAATAAACATTTCTTAATTTCAGAGCCAATTTCAACTTCTCATCGAAGGATCTTGACTCTAGACAACGCAAGTTCAACTTCACGACGAAGGGACCGCTGGTTGTCAATAAACAATTTCCCAATTTCAGAGCCAATTTCAACTTCACAACGAAGGATATTGGACTCCAGACAACGCAAGTTCAACTTCACGACGAAGGGACCGCTGCTTGTCAACAACAACTTCCCAATCTCAGAGCCAATTTCAACTTCACAACGAAGGATATTGGACTCCAGACAACGCAAGTTCAACTTCACGACGAAGGGACCGCTGCTTGTCAACAACAACTTCCCAATCTCAGAGCCAATTTCAACTTCACAACGAAGGATATTGGACTCCAGACAACGCAAGTTCAACTTCACGACGAAGGGACCGCTGCTTGTCAACAACAACTTCCCAATCTCAGAGCCAATTTCAACTTCACAACGAAGGATATTGGACTCCAGACAACGCAAGTTCAACTTCACGACGAAGGGACCGCTGCTTGTCAACAACAACTTCTCAATTTCAGAGCCAATTTCAA